TTAATGAATGGAAACAGCTCATACTTCGGTTTTGAAGAGTGACCTCAGCTTTGCTCTCAGTTCAGACTCATCCTGATTGACGCTGCTTGACTCATCAGGCACAGTATGCTTGTAGTCCTTCTCTCTCTCTTCTATCTCTTCTCTTCAGACTCAAATGTACTCGACTGCAGTTGTAATGGTGTGATTGCATTAGCACTGGGCTCTTCTGTTTACCTTTGGAACTCAGAAACTCAGGCTCTGTTGGGATGTTTGTGCCCGAGTCCACAACCAGGACCTCTGCACCTTCAGACTCAGTCTGTCTCGTCTCTGTGCTGGAGCAGAGACGGCAGATCTCTGTGCATCGGGACCAGGCGAGGGGAGATACAGGTAAACACTGTGGAGATTAAATGAGCAAAAAGAGAATGGAAACTGATTCATGGAAACTGAAGTTGGGGGGGGGGGGGTTGTTCTAAGGAAGTGTATCACCTGTGGTTGAATCAGCAGGCTGATAGTTTGCGGTCTCTCTCTTTGACTCTTTAGTTGTGGGATGTTGAACAGAACCGAAGGGTGAGGTGTCTTCCTTCACACCTGTCTGTGGTCAGAGCTCTTTCCTGGAAGCAGCAGTTACTCAGCAGGTATGTGCTCTCACAAGAAAAAAAGCTTGTGCAGATTTTAGGTATAATTCATAGACCTATATTTAGCCATAGGGGTGTATCTCAGCCTCAGTGGGAAATGAAAATGCTGAAATTCAAAAGATGTACACAATTTAGACAACATAGTTTCAAGCTAATGGGGTAAACACAGGGCCAAACACTTGATGATTGAGGAACAATGCTAGATATGTTGTCGAAATCCTTTGAAATATACGCAAAACCACATTACTGGCTTCTTGAATGAGTTGAAATAAGTATTTCATCCCTGGAAGAGACTACGGACAATCTGCAGACAAAGGTCAGATATTTGGAAGCAAGATTAAATCTCCATAGAGAAACTTTCCAAAAGGGGTCGGGCGCTTTAAAGTTCATTTTAATCTGTTAACTCAAGTCTCAAGACAATAGAGATCTTGCAGCTTATATAGACCGCCAATAGGGAAGATGTGATTGTCCGGTGATTGTGGAGAATGATACATGTCAAGTTGCCTTCCTGAACAAACTGGCAGGCGTTGCAACATTTGTGTCCTAAAGCATTGTCCTACAGTGCAGGAACAGACGTAGTGACTTCAGAATCTAGACGGGTTAAATTCTTTAGCAAAAGGAAATATAACAGGTATGATAAAGGGAATGACTGTATCAATATGTAGTGTGCAGTGTTTATACTGGTTGCTGACAGTTTACGAATTCTTCTAGCGGCTCTATTCTTGGACGTATCCATCACTTTGACCCTCGGGTTCCTGCACCTCTGGTTGGTGCAGCTGTGCAGCAGGACGGGATCTGCAGCCTGCAGTGGTCACCAGGAGACAACTTGCTGGCCAGTGGCTCCACAGAGGGCCTTCTCTGTATATGGGATAGTGACGTCGCAGGGTTCACAAGGTCACGTCGGCCAATAACTACAATGAAACATCCCTGCGCTGTAAAGGTCAGTGATTGATTCCAGATGAGTCCTTTAGGGATATAAACTGCAGCTACTTGAATTTGCACTCTATATCTATGGGTACTTTGGAAAGTTTGGAGAAAGTGAGTTAAGGGTCACTGACATAGTTGTAGTGTATAGTGTACCTATGGTCATTCAGTGGGATAAGTTCTACCAAAAAAAAGGGAGGGACAAGGGGCACTGAAGTGAACTCACAACTCTGCTTGTCAAATGCATTTTACTCTGTTGTTGACAAAGGGTGTTGACCTTTGACATGCTTAAAACTGCTTTTTTTGGTGAGGAAACAATTGGCAGCATACAGTATCATCCATTTTTCTGTTAAAATGAGCTGGCTCGTGTGTATTTGAATGACCTGCTACTGGTTGGTATGTCTAAGGGTTTTAGCTATATTTACACAGAAGTTTAAAATATAGTAAGTTGGGGCTCCAGTGGCCTCGAGGTTACTGTAGTTTACGCACCCCATGTTTAGAGGCTATAGTCCTCAATTTGAATATGAGCTGTAGCTCCTTTGCCGCATGTCATTCCCACTCTCTCTCTCTCTCTCTGGTTTTTGACTCTATTCACTTTCCTGTCTCTCAAAGGTATAAAAAAGCCCAACAATATATCTTTAAAAAGAGTAAGTTAAGTTGATTCTGACACTGTTCACGATGAGTTTTACTTTAATAATCAGCCATCTTATAGTTCATTGTGTTTGTGTGTGTAGGCGATGGGATGGTGTCCATGGCAGAGGAAGACGATTGCTACAGGAGGAGGATGGAAAGATGGAGAGTTAAGGATCTGGGACGCAGATTCTGCATCTTGTATTAGTTCTGTAAACACTAACTCACAGGTGCTAAAGACTCACAAAGTTATAGTGTTGTTGTTTTTTTTTACTGTTAATAAATATCTAATGTTTTTCTTTATGATTACAACTGCAGATCTGTTCTCTTCAATGGGCTGAGAAGAAGAGATGTCTGATCACAGGTCACGGTCTTCCTCATCACCAAGTCACCTGCTGGACCTGGGAGTTTCCCTCCCTCAGACCGACCTTCCAGCTCACAGGTTAGAGAACCTGGAACACATTTATGTGCCACTACAGGCCTTAATCATCTCTGTGAATCACCTTCACTACAGCCTAGGGTTGTCCCGATACCAGAATTTTTAACTTCAATAAAATATTTGTAAAGATCTAAATAATAAAAATATTGACTAAAGTTTCAGTAGCACCCAATATGGGGTAATTCTTTTTAATTTTTTTTCAACCAAAACTGTCAAGCAAACTTTTTCACACGTCTAAGTTTCAAAAATGTATTGGCCAATTTTCTGATCTAGAACATATTTGCTATTGAGACAGTTCTCGCTCTCTTTCATTTAAGGGATACAAATATGAAACTTAAAATTGTGACAACCTCACTACAGCCTCATGGCACAAAATGGATTGCGTCATTGTTCATATAGCAGAATAAGTGTGTCAGTTGGACTACAGCTACAGCTCTGCCTTCGTTTATGACAAGGGTGTAAACCATGACTGTGTGATTACTCATTTATGTCCAGGCTTCAAAGTAAATGTGAAACTATGAGTTGAAACAAAACACAAGTCAAACATTTGAAATCAGACTTCTCAGTTTCCTGATGTATTGGGAATTGCTGTAGGCATAAATAACCAATATGTAAAAATAAATGTGTTCTGAAATCCTTTTAAGATTATTTACAAAAATGTTTGAGTTCATAAATCTTTGTCATTTCTTATGTATTCAGTTATATATTGCAGTTACTGTTATGTTGATTTGAGCTGAAAGATCAGGATGACTTAGTATTTAGATTCACTTCATCACACTGTTCAACAACATTTTGTATATTTATATTTGTAAATGTTGTTGATATTCAATGCTTCTACATAGCTTATTATTTCTTTAGATACTCTGCCCTTTGGTACTTATCACTTATATGTATTCTATATTTCCTACTTCTATCCTATTGTTTTTAAGAGCAACTAACGACCAACCAATCATTTCAAATGTATAAACTCCTAAAACCTTTCTTTACAGTTGAGTGAATGAGCAATATTGCATTCAAATTGAAATTTAACAGTAAAAACAAAGAAAAACACCTTATAGTCAGCTAAAGCAAGTCTTTCAAGGTAAGCACTAATGTAATAATGAATTGAAGTTGGTAAAACATTAATGCACTGAAAAATATCAAAAAGGTATTGTTCAAACTTGATTTTGTTTTTCTGTTTAGGGCATTCTCAGCGGGTCCTGCACTTGGCCTCAAACCCCGATAGTTCTCAGATTTTCTCTGCAGGAGCAGACCAACGCTTTCACATCTGGGACCTTTAATGATCAACATCACTCATTATCATGCTCTGTCAATGTTTAGTAGCTCAGTCTCTCAGTAATGTTGTTTTCAGAGGTTGCACATTTCCTGTCCCATTTTCTGAACTAACCACGGTGTGTCCTCGTCAAACAGAGTCAGAAACACACTTTTAGTTCCTTATTCATTCATTCAGTCCATATCATATGCGTGTTAGTGGAGATTCAACATTTGTCTGAGTTAAAAAAAACTGTTTGTTTTATTCTAGCTACTTTACAGAATTACTTTTTTATCAAACACGGCATGTCCTCTTGTCGAGGGGCCCTACAGATGACGAACGGATGAAGGGGCTACTTCAGGCTATAATAGAATTAGCCTACATTTACATCAGGAGAAGAGTTTAGACCCCCTAGATTAACATTTTCACATGACATTTGAGTGTTAACAGTTTTTCTTCACACTGAATAATCTTACAAAGCCTCACATCACCAACACCACCCAGAGCAGTCAAATTATTATTTGATTTACATCCTACAAAGATAAAAGCAATCTTTTTTTTTTTTTTCATATTGTTCCAATAAGTAGAATAGAATAGAATTACTTTATTGATCCCAAACTGGGAAATTGTGGCGTTACAGCAGCAGGTTATCCAACACACAATATGAGTAAAAAACACAATGTTAGCAAATCTAAACATAATATAATATTAAATACAAAGTAAATAAGTACTAAAAATCTCAAAACTAAGAATGTGAATATATACAACCAGGGTTTAACTTAGCATTACTAGTCTTAAATAGGAAGATTAAATATGGAAGATTAAATGTAAATGTACAAAAACAGAGTAGTAAATGGACAGTATTGACATAAGTTAAAGTGCATGAGTGCAGACATATAATAAGCAGAAACTATACAATATAACGGCGAGTAGACAGCCAAATGAAGTGAACATGAGTGCAGGGATAATTTGTAAATTTAACATGTGCAGAACAGATTACAGTATGGAGAGACGGATATTATCATGAAGACAGTTCTCTGCTCGCATGAGGTGAGCTGTTGTACAGAGTTATGGCCTTCAATAAGAAAGATTTCTTGTATCTGTCCTTGTGACAGCAGAGTTGTATCAGTCTGTTGGAGAAGCTGCTCCGCTGTTTGTCCAGTAGGGTGTGCAGAGGGTGTTCAGGATTATCTATAATGGATAACAGTTTGTTAAGAGTCCTCCTCTCTGTCACCGCTACAAAAGAGTCCAGCTTGCAGCCTGTCACAGAGCAGGCCTTCTCAATGAGTTTGTCCAGTCTCTTAGTGTCACCAGCTCCAATGCTGCTCCCCCAGCAGACCACAGCAGAGAACAGTGCACTGGCCACAACAGACTGATAGAAGATCTCCAACATCTTGCTGCACACGTTGAAGGATCTCAGCTTCCTCAGAAAGTACAGTGGGCTCATAACCTTCTTGTACACAGCCTGAGTGCTGGCCTTCCAGTTCAGTTTGTTGTCTATGTTGGCACCCAAGTATTACATTTCACCCAAATAAAGCTAATGGACATTGAAATAGCCTCTGAATTATATTTACTTTATAAAATATGACAAATTTGATTTAAGTAAGGTACCAGTGAGTCCAGTTTGAACTCTGTTCTTATATATTTCCTCTTCAGCTGCTTCTGAGTCGCTTTTCTCCCACTGGATTGCACCTTAAATTAAAATACATTTTTGGTTCAATACCATTCCAGTTTTTCACCTGTAATCTGATAAGTGTGTTCAAATATTGAATGAAAAGATAAATATAAAAACCTATGCTTTGTGTCAAGCAGCAATTTTCTCCCACACCACTTATTTTTTCATACTCGTCAAATGTCAGCATGAGGATTTCCAGTTCGACTCAGAGTTCAGGGTCAGACTCAGAATTTGTTGAACCTCCTTTCTGGTTGTTTTATATTCCTGGAATGTGCCCAGACTTTATTTTCAAAAGCTAAACACTGAATGTAGGACTATCACGAGTTTATCTTTGGGGAATTTAGTGAAAGCTCACATCAATGTAACACATCGATAGACAGAAGAGTAAAGTCCTTCTGATCTACAATTGTATCTACTTTTCTATATCCTACAACAACTTTCACTTCCTTCTCTTTCACCAATCGGCGTCCGTTGGAGTTTTCAAATGAAACTTTATTAACAATTGTCTACGTTCCGTCCCGATTTCACTCTTACAGTGTGAGCTCATAAATCTCAAGGTCTGGTTACAGGCCTTAAACCAGACTACAGGTTAAGCACACATGCAACTGAAAACAACAACAAAACAGGTTACCATAACTACGCCGGTGACACACAGATCTTCATTACCGTGTCACCAGGGGACTGTGACTTTTATTCCTGCTCTGAGTAGATGCACTGAATAAATTAATGAGTGGCCTTGCCATCATTTTCTTCAGAGACAAAACTAAGGTAGGTCTAGATGTTTTTGGAGCCAAGGAGCAATTAAAAGTCAGCACACAGCTTCAAAGCATTAACATTAAAAACAGCTGACTAAGCCAGAAATCTGGGTGTACTCACTGATTCAGACATAGCCGACTAGATGACTGTAACGTGTCTTTACAGGTCTCCCTAAAAATCTGTCAGACAACTGCAGATGATTCAGAATGATGCTAGTCACTCCAGTTCTGATGTCCTTACACTGCTACCTGTCAGAGAATAGATTTTAAAATACTTATTGGCCAAAATAAATGTGTGCCCTTCTAATAAAGAAAATGCACCATCCAGACAACTAAAGTCCTCTAGGACGCAGGTCTGCGGTTTGTCCCCAGAGACAGAACAAAACATGGAGAAGCAGCATTTACTCTGTATATCTAGAACAACTTTCCAGAAAACTTTAGGTACGGTGAAACTCTGCGTTCCTTTATATCAAGGTTAAAGACTCACCTGTAAACAGTTGCCTTTTATTGATTGATTTGACTTTTAATAAATTATCTTTAGACTATACATATTTTAACTAGCCTATATGACACTACACTTTAACTATCATACTTGTATTTTAAAACTGTCTTACTAGATTTTAGTTTCTATTTCTGTTCTTATTTTATCTTCTCTTTGGGTTGTAATAGTTCGCTTTAATGATTTTTAAATATCCTGTTTCTTCTGCCCTTTCGTTTCGTTAAGCACTTTGAATTACATTGTTGCTGAAATTAGCTCTATAAATAAACTTGACTTGCCTTTTCTTGTGTTACGAGCTAGCACCTACTACACATAAAAGTAAGACCTAACCTGAAGTATGAAAGAAGAGAGACGGACATTGAGAGAAAGGACTGCTTCTCATGACTGGAAAACAAGGCTGCAATCGGCCTTGCTCGTACTGGACTGCGCTGTGGGGAGCGACGGACGAGTCCTGGCTTCATCTATCTTAAGTTTTTATTTAGTAGGACCTCGAAGAATAGAACAAGGCTGGTTTCATTCAGGTTCATGTGTGGGTCGGCTGTCGAGTGATGGTAGCTCCTTCAAGTCTGCGTCCACACAGGTCTCAGCTGCAAGCGTCACCTGAGTCTTGTTGCGTCATTTAAAGGAGACACAGCACCTGCTCTGTGCTCACCTTAGGAATGGTGACAAACCAGTTCAACTCAGCTTAAACCTCGACTGTATGTCCCCCCAGAAAACCAGTCCAAAGTGGTGAAAACAGATTGACAACTCACACAAATGACTTAAACTATTAACAGCAAAGAACCTCATGAAAATCCCTTGAAGGTGCCTCTTTAGCCCCCGTGTGACTATGATTGTTTATATGCAATAATGCAAAATCAGGTCAGCAGGCTTTCTTTTGAGGCTGATGATTATAACTGTTCATACCAACAGAGATGTATTTGTCACAAATGAATTGATACTTAGTGACACAAAAGCCCAGAAAACACTGTAAACACGTACTCTAAAACATGACTATGTCCCTTTCTGCTCCTTTTAAGTTTTGATCTTATTTACACTTGTAACTTATAACACTTCCCTCTCACCTCCAAACCACCTTTCAATCATTCATCTTGGGTAACACAGAAGATGAGGTCACCCATGCATTTCATTCATTTACTGAAGCTGTGGATTGTTCTAGAAACTTATTGTCAGATTCAAATTTCAAAGTACACTGAAGCTTTAGTTTATCCAGACTCTAAAAATAGATTCCAGGGCGGAGTTACACATCAGTATTTTGGATCCTCCTATAAAAGCTGTTACCACGGTTCACCTGGTGTTCAGTTTCACTGTTCAGCCTGTTCTGACACTTGGCTTTGCTCACCAACACAACAGTTGTTTGAGATCAAGAAGCGCAGATTAATCTATTAATACCGAAAGAAGTTCAACGATAACAACAAGAAAAAATTGCTCAAGAGTGTGAGTTGACGCATCTTTAGGATTACCTTACATTTTTGCTCGAAAAATAAATCACAATCACAAAACATAAATCTTTAAAAAAAAAAACAGTAAGAAATCAACATGTCCCCTCCCATTTTCTCCTCCCTCTTGCATCACCCCATAATGTGAGGCATTTCTATAAACTTCAAGAGCTGAAGGAGTTTTAACCAGAGAAAGAGGAGAGTCGAGAGAAAAGTGGACTGCAGAGGAATGAAGAGTAATATCAGAAACAACACTGACTCTACTGCATGATTGCCTGTGAGATGCAAATTCTGCAGCGACTGGCTGTCCTGGGTAAAAGCTGCATTTTTTTCTTCATCTTTTAAAGCACATTTTCTAAAAAAAAAAAAAAATTTTGTCAATCAAAATTTTTTTTTTTTTTTTTTGATTATACCTGATCATTGAAAGAAATCCTGCACCATGAAGTGCAATACTGCAGCATTTAACTAATTTTAGAATCAATGTGAATTGTGAGTATTTTCTTAAGTTGTATTCTATACTATGTTAGTATAGTATCTTATTTTAGTGTCTTACTTTTCCTTGACATAGTGATGTTCCATGGATTATCAATGGGGAAGATAATGTCACATTACGTCCTGGTCCAGAGACAGATGTCCTGGTACAAAGCCAGGGACTTCTGTCAGAGGCATTACATCGACCTCGCTGTCTTGAGCACAGAAGAGCAATACTTCTCTCTCATTAATGCCACTGCTGCAAACACTGTCAGCTTTTGGGTCGGTCTGCACCGTCAGAACATCTCCAGTGCCTGGACGTGGATGGATGGGGAAGAGCTGACCTATCAGAAGTGGTACAGGAGA